GATTGTGGGTGTGTGAAAAATGATGTCATCAAAAGTGGGTCTCTCTGTGATTCTTGTAAGGAAAGTGATCTCAACTGTTGCTTTTTTATTTTCCTTCTGATGTATTTTGTGGGGATATAGAGATATGATTCTCTTCACATTGTGGTCCGGAGATTTTTGGTCCAATGGTTTCAAAATTCCAATACATGTATTGGTGGTACTTTGATTTTGCTAGAGTTTGTTTGGTTTGAAAATTCTAATTGCTATTACTAGTTGTAATTTTTTAGAGCTCGTTGCTAAAAAATTGAGTATTTAACAAACATTTTTAAAGTTGCATTTTATAAATAAAAATAGTAAGAATCGGTAAATATTCAAATAGAAGAGAACATTAGAATCTCCTATATAATGTACAAAAAAAAAGGCTTGACCCATCTTTTATTTTTCTTAGAAGATAAACCCATCAAAAATTGAATAAATTAAATTGCTATAAATTAGACTGTTGAGAGTTCAATATTTGGTTCTTAAGAGAAAAACCAGGGAAGAATATGAACCTGAGGACTTCGTTTAGCTGTCCGTTTGATGCGTTTTCGGTTTTTCCAATGTAAATCATCTAGTGCTGCATCAGTCGCTACCGTTCTTTTCCGTCTATGGTTCAGTAACGGAGTTTCTGGCTCCAATGGCCTGTTAATAAAAATCAATCAAACAAGTGGATAATTAGACATGCAAATACTACAAGAGAGTATGCTCTAAAACATCTAATTTTTTTTTTGTGTGTCAATGAGTTAGGATGGTAAAGGAACAAACCCGGGAGATTCAATCTGTGGAGTGGATTCCTCCACTGGACAGCAAGCGGAGCAGACATATGCCTTTGGCCGCCAATGAAGTTTAACACAATAGGTGTGATACCATTCACCACATTGACTACAAGAAACCATGGATCTTGAGTTGTATGGCTTTAGACAAATGCAGTGTAACATACTTCGAGCTCGTAAGGACTGCACCAATCAAACAACGATACAAACTGTTTTAGGTAACAGTAAGATTATATGTTAAAGCTTACTAACATTCATTTCTTATTAACCTGAAGTTCTTTCTCTGCACAGACAGGCAAATTTTCACCCTCAGAAATAAGCTCCAAAACATCCTCCAAGGCAAGAGCACCCGAGTCTGTCACCACCTGCAGATCAAATCAATAACTCTCGTTTTCGTTAAGCATTCCAAAGAGCAGAGTGAGCTACGCAAATGACTGAGAACCCTTGTTGGCCACATACTTTTCTAGCTCGCTTTGCCCACCCTAGTCCAGTGTCGTTTAGCTCCACAAGTCTCTTGCCTAAGTAATACTCTTCAGGTAATATTTTCAGTGTTTGTCCCTGTCAAGAAGCAAATAACCAAAGCTCATCAATCAGATCAATGTGGTGTCAAAGTATAACTGAGATAAGAGAATCAACTAGTCGATGTTTCGACATGTATTTACAATTTATAGAATATATTTTCCGCATAAGTAGTATAGACTAAAAACCCAAAGAGAAGGATACTGTTTCAAGACCCAAACGCGTCTCAGCATACGTAGGAAATCACTTTATCAGCACATACCTCTTCTAAGTGCTGCTGAATTTGCGGTAATGAGGGCTTTTCTACATCTTTTCGCAACTGCCATTTAAAGAAGAATTTAAACAATCAAAAGGGGTAGCCACACACATATTATGAAAAATTGTGTCAAAAACTGATTAAAATTTAGCAATCTATTTGTAATTTGTACCGCAGAGGAAGGTGAGTTAGAGCTTAACGTGATGGTCTTGCAACACCATCCTAGTTTTAAACTTGCAGTTTGAAGTTTGGGAAGTTCAACAAAATTGAGAGCAAGGGATAGACCACATTTTCTAGCGGAGTCCACTCTGCTTATCAAATCCGTAATCTTTGGAAGGATCGTGCTATGCATACCATCATCTATTTTCACCTCGTCCAACAAATCTTCAAATTCTTGCAAGAGCTGATGAGTATCACACTGCCACTTCTCGCAGTTACGCAACAATGTTTCAAGAATCCTTGGCTCTTCAAGCTGAACACTGAGCGATTTAGACTGAGAAACTAGGTCCTGCAAAAATTAAAGCATTGAATACTCCGAAATCACATCAGTTATAATGAAAAGAAATCTGAATAGGAGGCAAACCAACCTTTAATACAGGAAGTTCAAGCAATGAACACGGAGAAGATGTAATACAGGAGACGGCAGATAAAAAGGGCTCAGATTTCTGAAGCCAAGATTCGGCCGAGGAGATCATGTTCTCTATGCTCTTCAGAGATGGCAAAACCGCATGAATGTTCACTGACATCCTATGAACAACATCATTTGATTAATAAAAGTCTTAACAAAAACTAAGCGTGGGCTGAGTTTTAAGAAACTTACGAAGCATAACATAAAAATACCTTACGAGATCTTTAAGGTCACACATCTGAGTTTCACTAGGAAGGATACTAGTTGCTTTTTCTTCCCAACAACGTGCTGTTGTCAAGAGTCTGGAAATCTCCACAAATAACTTCTCCTCCACAATGTGTAGTCTGGAAATAGAAAGTGTTGACATGAAAATTAAAAAGACGAAGAAATTCATATTACAGAATCTATGTTAGTAATAGAACACAACGTACGCAGCGGCCTCCGACAGTAGCTGCTCAATGAAATCCAGAGACCTTATTGCAGTATGAACCTGCATCAAATTACATACAAATAATGCCGTATCAAAGATATGAACCACAGATAGACCACTCGGAACATAAATATTTCATCAGTTAAATGTACAACAATTTTTCCATGCATTTCACATTCAATATTGAAAACAATGCGAAGAGTTATTACAATCTCTATTCTGAATATCATGATAACTGCTCAAGACGAATGAAAGATACAAATACAATAAATAAAGAGAAAACATTTACCGTTTGAGCTTTTTCGCGGCACGATGCCTTCTTCAATTCAATCTCAACAAGAGGCAGTCCTTCAACTATTTCAAATAGTGTGGTTAGGGTTAAGCTATCACTATGCATTACAGCACAAATATAGGTGGAACCAGATAAGACACCCGAAAAAGAATGTCTAAGAATAAAAGTAAAACCTTGAATGTCTAATGATTCTCCATCATGTAGAAGGGAACTCAGGGCACTGATTAATTTTTGTTGGTCCTTGCCTTCACGAACTTCAACCATTACATCATTATAGCGTGAAATCCAAGACAAAGTGTCAACATGGTACTGCCTCAGGATATTCAACTCAGGAATGCTAATGCTGAAACTATCAAATTCATGAAGCAGTTCTTCCACATTCTGTTCAGCGAAAAATACAAACGACTTCAGAAAGGCTCGACAAAAGTGCTTGAAGCACAATGAAAGATACTGAGCAAAAGTACAGCCAACCTGGAGAGATATAGAACCACTCAAAACTTTTTTACATTTAGCACGGGCCGATTCCGATTTCTTTAGCAAGTCCAGAAGCCCTACTGTTTCTGGAAGTTGCACTTGAAGCTCCAATATCTATTGACGAAAAAATGATGATTAGAACACAAGAACAAGTAATAGAGTTATTATTTTCAGAATCAGGATAATGTAGTCACCTCTGACTTTAGCTTGTAAAGAGCGTCCAATTCAATCCCTGGAGGTTGTGTATTCGCGAGATACAATCTCGCCCTTTCAGCTAACATCTGAGGACCAATGAAAGATATTATCAGATTCAAGACAATGCAAGAAATGAAATAGGACACAGAAAGCCAAAACCACTAAACTAGGATTATGCTCGTGGGCTTAGATAATATTCATCGCAAAAAAGGCATATTGCCCAGATAAAACAAGCAGGAAAGACATCTAGGTTTCTTTTACACCTATATAATTCAACTATGACGCCAGTCTCTCTAAGACCTTCGTGGATATCAGACGTTTTGAAAGATACTGCATTACCCTTCAAATTAATAAAGATCCAAGACAAACTATAAGTTCCTCAAAGTACAAGTTCATCAATAACCAAGATGAACGTACACAAAGTGGCACTATCCCATGGGTAGAGTTCACCCTTAAAGAACCAGCTTATAAGGGAGGATATCTACAGATTTGAAGTTCATCAACAATTTATTTCCATCAAAAAGCAGAGAGCACACTACCACCGCTATCAACACAGACATCTGGGTTCACCAGGTTGTGGATGGACAGTAACCAATATATCTCATTTCATTTAATATGGAATTGTAATCAATATGCAACTAATCCACATATTCTTCTTAACTCACATAGCATACAACAGATGTCCCTATTCTTTAAAACACAAACCTTTGCAGAAAAAGTAACTATGCATATGTCTGTCTGAACCATGGTGTACCTTTGCAGTAGAAATTTTCTTTGACAAGATCTCGTGTTTACTGAGAGACATTGGTAAACTGGAGACTTCGGAATACAGTAGCTCCAGTTGGGTAATCTAGAAAGAAACCAAGCAGCACAAATCAGAATGCATAACATAAATGATTTACTGGACTGTGATGTAACCAAAAGGCATTTGCTCAAAACTATGTGGGAAGGTAATGGTGTTTGTAGTGGCATACAGTTGGACTAGTCGACAGAGAAGAATCGATTTTCTCAGACAATTTTCTAGCCTCTTCAACATAATCCTACAAAGAAACGGAAACACGTAACAAAGTTATAAACATAATGGCAAGCAGAAGTAACAATCTCAAGGAAAACTAGGACATTTTAGGTACATGGCGGCTGACCTTTAATTTAAGATGACCAGACTGAAAGCAAGGAACGGGATTAACTCTCACCAACTCATCAATAAAGTCCAAGTGAACTTTCTGTGATTCATCGTTGGCTTCACCTTCGATTTTTGAAAGACAGTCGCTAACAGCTTCTCCCCATACCTTTGCTTTGATCAAACTTTTTGCAACATCTCGTACCTGTGTGACATATACATAGAAAGGTTATATCAGAATCTACCCAAAGATACGTATACAAAAGCCTTTCAACGGATACTCAAAACTCACACGGTCCATTTCTGATCCAGCCCAAAGAAACTGTTCTGCTTCCTTCAAAAGGGCGGCATAATCAACACTAGAAAACACATCCTTGAGAACCTTTGATGCTCGAAGAAGCCAATCTTCTGCTGGCCGTGCCTGACTAACTTGGATTCCCTCCTGCTGCTATCAGAAGAGACAGCAACATTTTATAGATTATAATAAGATTAATAGCCCAAGTATAAAATATACACAAAACTCTAGGTTGATACCCTGTATAAGCATCGATATAAACTGCAGGACTATTTAGTTATGGCCCTTTAGTTATTTAACACTGGATTTGATCAAATCCTTTTATAGAAAAGGTGAGGATAAAGAATGGGTATGCTGCTGCTCATATAAAATCCAATAACAAAAACAGAAACCAAGATTTATCATTTGAAAACAGTACTTATATATTTACCTTTTTGTTGAAAGCAATTGATCGTTTGGTGCCAGAACTTGACCGTTGTGAGTTATTAGTTTCTTGCGTTTTACAGCCATCAGACTTTTCAACTTTTTGTACCATCCCATGCAACTCGGCAAGGGTATAACGGTATACAAGACGCAACTTCGTAGGTTCACATTCACAAAGGTGCTTCCAGTGCTGTATTCAACATTACACTTAGGTAAATAGAAAATTCAAGAAACAAGATTCTTAAGAAAAATATGTCTACTGTACCTCTAGAACCCTAAACAGTTTCTATTTTGTAAAAAAAGGCTAGTCTGCGTGAAGTTGATTGCTCTCTAAAGAATTAGGTTAAATATTTACCTCCAAGCATGCGAAAACAGATGGCCTACAATCACAGACGATAGCAGAAAGATGAAGAAACTGCTGGCAAATGATGCATGTTGGATCCTACAAACACCGTTATAAAAAGTCCACACGTCAGAGCATTATCTTGTGCAAGCTAGAATGATAGTGACAAAAAACTTAACATCGAAACCAACAATATCTGATTGCAGAAAGAAAAACCTCTTCAATGCCCACAGAATCAGGGCATTCAGACATAGGAGAAGATCTCAAAATACCACTTTTCCAGAGCTGCTCTCTCCATGTTTTTTCTTTACTGTATATTCTGAGCAATTCTTTCTTCAAATGTATTGACCCTTCGCCATCGTAGCAGTTTCCCTGTAAGAGAAGCCAATTAAAAACAATCACAAAAGCTGCGCAAATATCTACATTTGTTGCAAAATTTAGATGCAAAATTTCACCAGTAACCCTTATAAATTAATAGTGGATAATCCCATCATATCTAAACGATGCCTCCTTCAATATTGATGTATCCACTATCCAGAACTAAATCTTCTTTCATGAATTAACCAAAACCAACAAAACTACATGGACACACAAGAGAAGTACCATCTTCAGGCATTCAGCTGGAGCTATCAACATCATTTGGTTTGACCGTTCAACAAAGAAATAAAATGAGATAAGCATGTTTGGAGTTAATATACTAACAAAGAGAAGCCCAACAAATTAATATAAATTATGGGACATCTGTCCAACCAGAGGGAAAATGAGCATACAACTCATCTTGCAAGCTTTTCATATAAGTTCATAAAGTTTTGCCTATAGAGGCTCTCTACCTTAGCTACCACACAGAGAAGCTCATCATGAGATATGACTGCAGGTTTCCGGTACAACCGATACAGCTCCGCCCCAAAACCACCATAAGGTAGCCAATCAGCAGTGGCAAAGTTGACAGCCTCTGCACAATTCAGACCTGGAAGGACAACATGTGCGAGTTTATCATAAACTGCATAATAACATTGGTGACCAAACTCCATAACGAAAATTTAATTGAACAGTTAAGCAGACAAGTAGTCATGTGACTACTATAACTTAAATTAGAGTTGGCATACCGAAATTGAATCCAGCATGAAAGGATTTTGGAAATGTGATGACGAAGTTTCCAGGCTCCTAGCAGTGACCAAAAGTAAAGGGATTATGTCAGAAAACTAAACACGCCCATAATTTTAGGAGGAAAGTTATAATCACAAATAGCTTCCAACACTTGCAAAAGAAATGCTAACAGTCAAATCAACTATATACTTGAATATCAAACCTGTAATACTGTGTACACCGGGACTTTATTTTCTTGTAAAACAGTTGGACTCAACATGGTAACTAGTTGAAAGAGCAAATCGGGCTGAGCATCAAAGAGATCGGGAAGGGTTTTCCGCATGACCTACAACAAATCAAGCAGCGCTAGCACCTTAACTTTTGTTTCTGAAAGTAAGTAAATATTCTAGTACGCCAGAAATGTATATTCCAATGAAGAAAAAATAACTTCTGGCTGTGAATAAGTAGCCAATATTAAAAAACTATGGAAGCTTGGAGCACAAATAACCATTATAAAAAAACTTACCTTTTCAAAAGCACTAGCAGCACTGCCTGGAACACCATACCAACATTTTGCCTCTCCCCTTAAGTGTGTAAATAAAAAAGTTGGTAACAGAATCTTTCAAGATAAAAGGCGGAACTAAGCGACTCGATACAAATGAAATGTCTCGTTATGAATTAGAGAGTTCCAGTTATTTTTATAATCATCTTACCCAAACTAAGAAAAAGAGGGAGTGAATTCGGCGACTTCTAAAACTCAAAAAATAAAGCAGTACTCACTCTAGATGCTTCAAAAGGAAAACAATTACAGTACAGGTACATACCAGTGTAGATAATTGACAGAGTAAAAACAATGGTCTTCAAAATGCCAACAAAAAGAAGAGAAGAGCATTCCAAGATATAGCCAAGGCACTGTAACACCATTAATGTTATGCCGAATGGCCTGAAGCATAGATCCTTTCAACTTCGGCAGGTTATTGAGATTCCAAGGGCTACCACAATATTCATCCCATATATTTGCCTCAACTGATTCTGGTCTTTGGTCGCCTAATCGAGGAAAACCACTTCCATAAACAGAAGTATCCAAGTCATTACCATACATAACTTCAACCTCGCCACCTGATCCTTCTACTATTTCCCAAAACTTTTTCTCTATCTGCGTCCTAGTCACTGATCCTGAACCAAACCACTTTCTTTTGGCGCGGTCAGCAATGCGCTTAAAATCGTCAAGTAATAGGCATTTACCAGGCACAAAGCCAAAAGTGTCTTCATCAATGTTTAAGCACTCAAGGCAATACCAGTTCCCAGGTGGGATATGCTTCAATGGTGGCGAGAGACAATAAATATGCCAACCTTTATTACAACTATCACACAAAAGCATCACTTCGCCGTGTTTGCCACTTTTACACTGTTCACATGCTTGATCAACCCCTTCTTCATTTTCCACATTGGGGTTTTTTTCGTCCGCGTTTCTTTTTCTTCTCTTTGAACTCGGAGTTTCAGAACGGCGTCGATTCCTTTCAGCGGCATGTATTTTCCTTTTGCAACCTTTTGTAGGATCTGCATTCATCCGATTGTGATAATTCTCGAAATCATGCAAATGCTCTTTGTACAACTGACACAACACATGCTTAGAGCATTTAGAAATCTTATCACCAGAGCTCATAAACTGATAAACTTCTCCCCATTTCTTCACCTTAACAACCTTATCGTAACCACCAAACCTCTTCACCGCATTAAACAGCTTACACAAATCCAACTCCTCTCCTTCAAAAACAACTCTCTTCTTCAGCTTCTTACCTAACTGCTCCTCCAAAAACCTATTGTACTCCAACTGAAACGTCTTGGAATTACACGAAGCAGGACGAACCTGCAACCGGTGAATCTCTTGCGTCTTTGTAGGAAACTTAACAGATTCCAAATCCAAACCGAAAGGCGGTTTCCAACAACTCGGTGGAACAATCTTGCAAATCCCATAAACCTCAGCTTCTGGCTTAATCTTGTAGATATACTCTAATGGATCTTTGAATTCATCTTCTGTCGGATAATAAACCGGTCCAGACGGAACATTATACGATCCTCTAAGTTTCTGATCTAAAACCTTTTTCTCCACAGCTTTAACTCTACCTTTCCCCATTACCAAACACATCAACTAAATCCAACAACAATCATAACCTACGAATCAACAGGAAACGGTATCAACAACAACAACAAAAACCCTAGATTTATAATTCAAGAACAGTGTGCGATAATTTTCAATTCTAGGGTTTTTTTAGCAATCTATTACCTTGAAATCTTGACGAGGAGAGAAAAAAAAAACAGAGCTCGAGAAATTTATTATTCTTTGGGACGAATTTTGATTTGTGAAGAAGATTTTTGATATAAAAAAGTCTCTTTATAAAGCTCACTTACTGAATTTCCAAAATTGGGTTTGGATTGTAACTGAAATTACGAAACGGAGAGAGAGAAGCGAACTGTTCTCAGTTCGTGTTTATTAGAAGAGGAATTCGTGCCGTTTTTTTACTAAGAAGAACTGCTTGCCGTTTATACTGATCGAATAGACACTACATGTAGTTTCGTTTTACCCGCTATATTGGATTGTTGGGCTTAAATGTCGAAGGCTACTATTGTAAGGCCCAAAATAATCTTGCCCAAGGACACACTAAATTAGTTTTCCGAGAATAATAAGCTAAATTATTCGAAATAATTTAAGTGTTTCTCGACAATATTCATTTTAAATTGAATGTTTTCACTTTTATTTACATAGGATATAAAACAAAAAATCCAAGAAAATAAGGAAAATTGAGTTTTTCAAGATAAGAAAAAAATAGTTATTGATATTGCAGGTACGATGTGATGGTCGGTGAAAAGGCGTTTCTACTGTTGGAAGAAAACAAAAATATTGGAGCGTTATGTCGGTGGCAATTAGATTTTATTTTCCTTAGTTCACATTTATCTATTTTTGTCAATAGAGAAAACCCCCCGCAAATATTAGCATTTAAACATGGGGCAATTACAAAAATACCACTTTTTGTGTGCACATTTGCAATAATGCCACTTAGGGGTGTCTATTTACAAAAATGCCACTAATTATAGATTTATAAAGCCTATATCTTAAAATTCTAAACCCTAAAAAATGTTTTGACACCTAAAACTCCCTAAACACTTAAAACTAGACCCTAATAGAACATAATTAACTCAAACATAAATAATATAAAGAAAAAATAATTTTGAAAAAATGACATTTTTATAAAGCTTTCAAAAGTGTGGCATTTTTGTAAAGTAGCATTTGAAAAATAGCATTTTTTGAAATTTCTCTTTAAACATGTGAAGATCTGAGCAGCCAAATTACATTTGTACAAATTCCAATCAAAGTTTTTGTTAAATTTATATTATTTTTGCTATGAAAATATATTTTCAAAACAAGTCTAATGAAATGAAATATGTGTTTGTTTTTTAAAAAGAAAAGAAAAGAAATGAAATGTGAAGGGATAATTTGTGGAATAG